TGACTAGATTTTCCACAAATAACTAGTAACACATAGCACCAAATAACACACTACTAAACTAATCTTTAGTTCAAAGGCTTGCCAGTAATTCAACCTATAGAGTGGATCTGGTACAATGATATAAGAATTCAATAAACACAGGGAAAGATAATCATACATTGGCCACTACTATATTTAATCACCTCTCCTGAGTTAATAGTGTACTCCTAAAGGACTGCGAGCAGATTACAGCAATTAAGCACTGAAAACACACAAGAATACATTTAGCTGCCCACATATTACAATCCCACTTCCTGTTTATTGTTCTGGCTCTTTTCATTTCAAACTTCTGAAATACATGAATTTCAATGCAAACTTCTCTGTAGGATTGTGTTTTTAGTTCTCATTCAGTTTGATAAAAACTGTGTGCTTTTGAAACATATTCAAGAATATTAAGAGAAAAGAATCTGCATGACATTTTCATGGATTAAGGGTAGCATTTTTGTAATTAAATTAACAGGCTGCCAAAAGGGGTTTTGTCTTTCACTATAAATGTCATCTCTCTAGCTTGTATCCCGTTTCCCATACTTCGATTAAATCCCATGAGAAAATATCATAAGGGAATCATTCCTCCGTTGGTAAGTTTCAGCAGTCCTCTGCAAGATGAGGAGGATTGCAACAGAAAACAACAGCAATGATCTCTACTTCCTTCAACAATTGAAGTTTAAAAACACCACAGAAAGAAATTATGCAAATGTTGGCATAGCGTGGTTTATTTGTGCATTATTGGCAGGTAGGTAGGATTATTATAATAGACTGTACAAGGAATTGCTTTTAAGTTAGTTTGTAAAACTCAGCAGATGATGTACCAAATTTGAGAGGGCTCACTTATTAAATCATATTAAGCCTATACTGTACCAATTGCATTGGCACTTCCAAGCCTAACTGATATTTTAATAGGTTGAATACATGATTACTGGATACGACTATGATGATTTGATCAGAGGTATGAATGGCACTGAGTTTGAGGCCCCTCTTCTTTCCCTTTCAAAATAAATAAAAGCTAAATGAGTAAGTTTGCAATCTTATAGATGTACTGTGATTTACTACGTGGGAGAGGAGAAACCTCACTGTATCACTAATAATTTTTTCCAGGCAGAAATTTATATAACTAGACAATAAATAATCCCAAAGAATTAGGAAATACAGATCTTTTATATTTGCAATTTGATTACAATATAAAGTTGCATATTTGAAACTTAAACAAGCTTACAGTCCACTTCTGCATTATTTATTTATTATATTTTTATCCTGCCTTTATTACTTTTATAAGTAACTCCAGGTGGAGAACATATATAATACTCCTTCATCCATCTATTTTCCCACAACAACCCCCCTGTGATGTTAGACTGAGTAATTCAAATCTGATTTGAACTTACTCAAATTAAGTTACATTTGTTTCAGTGTAAGCCTTTCTTTCTGATCCTGTCCACATAAACAATACAGTAATTTTTTAAAAATCATTGTCACCTGTGAGACCTACAGTCATATAAAATCTGCAGATCAGATTAAAAGCAGCGTATATTATTTAGTAAGGGGGGGGAGAAGAAAAGGAGACTTTTTACTGGTTGAGATGTTGTCATAATAAATTATACTGTATCTAAATAATATACTTCTGAATTACTTTGCCCTCAATTATTTGATGTAATATATGCAGGATAGAGAGTCAGTTTGGTCTAGTGGTTAAGGTGCTTGCCTAGAAGCCAGGATGCTGGAATTCTAGTCCCACCTTGGCCATGAAAGCTGGCTGGGTGATTGTGGGCTAGTCACTCTCTCAGCCCAACTGAAGTTATCTCATCATATTGTAAAAAGTCTTGAGAAAAGCACAAGAGAGCTCCAAAGTCTTGAATACTTTGCCATTTATCCATTTTTCCACAACCCGTTAATTAAAATGAATTTCTTTCTGACTTACCATCAAATATAACAGGGCAAATATAGTCATGTTCACATAGACACTTCAATAACTGTCATTATAACAAGAAAAATGTTGATAAGGGTCATTTTCACGTACTAAATACATACTTTTCAAGTAGTTCTTACCTTTCTCAGCAATTTCATGTTGTCTAGCCATGCAGATTTTAGTCTCGGAACAAAAGAATAGTGGGATTCCTTAAAGTATCTGTTCAGTAAATCTGGGCATACTTTGAAAATGTTCACCATAAGATTAGCAACCATCTCATCTTCTACAGCAGTCTTTAGACTCAGAAGAAAGCGCAGCAGAACCAAATTACCTCCTCTAACAAAATAATAGTTTGAAAAAAGCATTACTTTGACAGAATATAGTAATACATAATTGACAATCAGTGATCAGAATCTATGCTGCAGATGCTGTCAGTGGGCAGGAGTTATGGTAAGTTAGCTTTTCTCATCTATTTCGGAGGATGGCAGGGTGGAGAACATTATAAAACAGAGTTCTCCAAACTTTCCAGCTTGGGGGACTGGCGAGGTGGGGGCAGAGAGCGGGTGGTTCTGCGCGAGTGACTGGCACACACACACACACTTGGCCACTGCTCATGCAAATTGGGGATACATGTGCTCTCGCATGCCAGATCCACGATCCAGTTCCGAATAGCTCATGGCCCAGGGGTTGGGGACCCCTGTTATAAAACATACAGGTGAGGGGAGGGGGCTGAACTTATTCAATGAAATATTTTATTTTTGTTTCCTTTTGAAGTCAGATTCACCCATTTCATGTACAGTACTGCTTTTCAATTTTTTTTGCCTAACAAGAAATAAAAAAATTAACCTGCAGTGTATAAAAATGACTGTAACTTTACTGTATTTCAGCATGTTAGCTACATAAAATAGCAGATGATCAATCATGCCAAACCAGTAGGAACCTTAAGTGACTAAAACTATGTTGTCAAATGCTATGTTGTCAAAGGCATTCAACAAACCTCTACACACTCACAAAACATTATGAACTGGAATGAAAAAAGAATATATTTACAACATAATTTTGTAAGCCTGAGATTTACCCGTTCTAAAATCGCTTACTAGTACAGCATAAAACCTTCAGTTATTTATGCTAATGGTAAAAGTAAAGGTTCCCCTCGCACATACGTGCTAGCATCGGCTCTAGGGGGCGATGCTCATCTCTGTTACAAAGCCAAAGAGCCAGCACTGTCTGAAGACATCTCCCTGATCATGTGGCCAGCATAACTAAACGCTGAAGGCACACGGAATGCTGCTACCATCCCATCAAAGTGGTCCCTATTTTTCTACTTGCATTTTTATGTACTTTTGAACTGCTAGGCTGGCAGAAGCTGGGACAAGTAACAGGAACTCACTCGGTTACGCGGTACTAGGGATTCGAACCACTGAACTGCCGACCTTTCTGACTGACAAGCTCAGCGTCTTAGCACGCAGATTAATTAACTAACAGGAATTTAACAGATTTTTATGCTTAAAAGATGCAAATTGCTGAAGACTATATGACCAAAACCAGTAGAGGTTTGTGCTTCTAGAATAGACTTCTGTTCCCTCCTTGCTCTGTGAAATTATCACAAGATAGAATAACCAACACTCTACCATTCACAAAAGATGAGGCAACGCTGAAGAAAATACTTCAAACAATTTAGCTCTAACCTAAATAAAACTGCAAAATGTAACTGGACTGAACAACTGAATGCTTTACCTGCCAGATGTGCCAAGACTTGGATCATAAAAGTTAATGCCATGCTTCAGAGAACAACAAAGGTTCATTAAAAATTTATGAACCAGTTCTCTCACTAAAAGCTTTCCTGGTTCTTCACACTCTTGGGAAGCCTGCATAAAGTTAATAAATTGAAGAAAAACAGTCAGCTTACCACTTTTGCTTATTCAGTATTTTCAGAGCACAAAATAAATGTTTATTGTGCTTCTCCAATCTGGCTGGGCAATTTTGGGTGGTGGGTAATTTCAACATACCTGAAGACAGGCATACTGTGTCAGTCTGGTATAGATTTTGCCTGGTTGTATAAAGCTAGCTGCTCATATTGAAGCATTGAAACTAGATACATTTCCTCAAAAATAGCCCAGATTACTATTCCTAATGGCAAACTATTTTCACCTTACTAGGCAAACTATGGGCTTGGTTATGGCCTTTCATTTTTCGCCTTGAGCGGTGGCCCGTAACAACATGTTTCTGTACATCTTAAAACAGTATTTAGATGTAAGAAAAAGATGGAGAGAAGATTATTATACCTTGACATCCACTGTGCTGACATCAGTAATTCCATTCCAGCGATAGAGTGAAGCAATGTGGTTCAGTATTTCTGAGGTAAAAAAGTGTACCTTCTGGGTCTTACTAATATCTTTATTGAGAACCACCTACAAATAACACAACATATCAACACAATAGTTCAAAATTCTTAAGTCAGGTCATAAGTATGCTATTACATCTATAGGAACTGTCAGAAGTATCATAAACAATTTTAATGTCACTGTTGCATTCATTTGCAACTTTAATTTTTTGTTTACTTAGAAACGTAAGTTATTTAAAAGCATAAGTAGATCAAGCAAAAAGCTCTACAACTGAAATGCTGATAAGTTCTTAAGTACAGCAAAATAGAACGGTAATCAGAGATTGTCTGAAAACCACAATGAAGATATTTCAACAGTCAAAGAACATATAAAGAACAAAACTATTTG